CTGCAGTGAGCCATGATCGTGCCACTGTACTCCAGACTGGAAGACGGAGTGAGACCCTTTCTCAAAACAAAGGAAAAAAAACTAAAAAAAGAAAAATAAGATTTTTTTTAAAGAAATGAACATATACTGTTATTGGTGGTTTAGATGAGTTGCCCAAGTGCACACTTTTATGAGTCAATGTATTGTTTTCAGTATCTTTAGGAAATTGAGGCAGTGTATCCTCACCCTAATGTAACCCGCTATAGGGTAGATTTCTGTATAGCATGAATTTGCCCTGCACTCCTCTAAAAGATGTTTAGACCTTAGAAGTAATAAATACTTAAAGCACCCTCGGCAAACCATATAATCTTCACCTATCATCATAATTAATACTTGTATAACCCCTTATATTTTGAGAACACACACAGATATGCCCACATACACACATATATATGTGTATATATATATACACATACACATGGTTGTGCATCGCTTAAAGATGGGGCTATGTTACGAGAAAATGTGGCTTTAAGCAATTTCACTATTGTGCCAACATCATAGAGCACACTTACACAAACCTACATGGTATAGCCTACTGTACACTTAGGCTGTATACCGTAGCCTATTGGTCCTAGGTTACAAATCTGTATAGCATGTTACTGTACTGAATGCTGCAGGCACTTGTAACACAATGGTAAGTATTTGTATATCTAAACATACCTAAATATAGAAAAGGTACAGTAAAAATATAGTATTATAATTTTTTTGGAGCACTGTTGTATATGCAGACCAAAAAAATCATTATGTAGCTCATGGCTGTATATATATCTCGTTCGCTTGTCCTGTGAAATAGGTTATTAGCCCTGTTTTATAGATAAGGAATCTTAAGCTCAAAGAAGGTTAAATTGCATAGCTGTGGGCACATAGAATGTGGTTATACAGCTAGAAAGTGAGGCTGCCATTCATGCCCCTACCTTTCCCTCCCCATTTCTGACAGATTGTTACTACAGCTCTTATGATTTGCAGTGTTTACTTTTCCACCTCTGGGAATTCTACAGAAATGAGAAAAAAATATGTTTCCAAAATTAGACAAAAATACTAGCCTCTGACAGAAATTGAATGCTAAAGATAACAAAGTATTAATAATTTATGGACTCCAACAAATCTGAGCCTTTCTTGCATTCAGCCTTTTCCTAATTGGCAGGAATCACTAACTGGTAGAAGCACTCAGCTCTACATGTTCCTGATTCCTGTGTGTTTGCCATTAGTGCAACCTGTGAGATCACAGTGACTTTGTGAAACTTCTTGAGAAAATTCAGTCAAGCCTAAGAAACATTTTCATTCTTTGTCCAACTTATCGGGACCACTTAAGATTCAAATTGCAATAAAGAGATGATTAAAATATTTAAAATACTTTCTGTGCTGGTGCCAATGATAAGGTGCTTTTTGCTACAAAAAATGCAAAGATTATACCTAAGTGTGCAGAAAAGAAATGGTGAGGCTGCTGGGAGTTCTGAGTCTGAAAATACTGCTCAATAAACACCCATAATGAAAAGGACTCTCATTGGTAATACAGGTCTATGTCATGCTATTGTGTAAAATTTTGTGTGTGTATCTAGTGCCTGCTATGTGCTTGGTGTTGCTCTTTTAAATATATTAACTTATTTGATTGTTATACCAACTCTATAGGGAGGATTCTATTGTTTACCCCACTTCACAGGAGAAAATGAGGCTAAAGACGTTAAAAAAACTTACCCTAAGACACACAATGAGTATGTGGTGGAGCCAGAATTCAAACTTAGGGGTTTAGATCCAGCACATTGTTCCGCCTTTCCAGTAAAATCAGACAGAAAATTCACAGTGTCTGCAAAATCAGAAAATATTTGTATTAGTCTGTTCTCATACTGCTGGTAAAGACATACCTGAGACTCGGTAATTTATAAAGGAAAGAGATTTAATGAACTCACAGTTCTACGTGGCTGGGGAGGCCTCACAATCATGGTAGAAGGGGAAGGAAGAGCAAAGGGACTTCTTACATGGCAGTGGGCAAGAGTGCGAATGCAGGGGATCTCCCCTTTATAAAACCATCAGATCTCGTGAGACTAATTCATTATCATGAGAACAACACGAGAAAGACCCACCCCGGTGATTCAATTGCCTCCCACCAGGTCCCTCCCATGACACATGGGAATTACAGGAGCTACAATTCAAGATAAGATTTGGGTGGGAACACAGTCAAGCCATATCAACACTCATGCTTTTCAACCCAGTGTTTCCACTTGCAGTAATACTTTGTACCCATTAGCAAAAGTGTAGGTACAAGCATATTCACTGAAACGTTATTTTTAATAGCTAAACCTAAAAAAAATTAAACATATCCAAATATTCACCAATAGGGGAATGATTAAATCATGCCGTAGCCATTCTCCTTGGGGAGCGCTAGGTGGCTGATATAAACTATGAGCTGAAATAATGAGTGCTAACATGGGAACAGGACTAAAATTAGATGAGAAAAAAAGCTATGTACAAAACAATGTGTGTACTATAAGACCTTTTCTTTGCAAAATATTGATGATAATTGAGATGGAAGAGGCAGAAAGTAAGATTAGTGTATACAGATAAAAGAAAAACAATTGATAGCGTGTGTGCTATAAATCCTACACTAATTACTATCATTGTGGTATGAGATTACAAAGTATGTGCATTTGCAGTGATATATTTATTCATTTAACAGGTACTTATTGGAAATGTGCTACATACGAGGTTCTAGGTGCTGAGGATGTATATAGAGCTTATATTCTCATTAGAAAAGACAGAAAAGCAGCAAGTATATAGGTGAACATTTGAATTTTGATGCAAAAAGCCTGTGACTTTTATATTAAAAAGATATTTTTTAAGATAAGAAGACAATTACCAAAGTAAAGTGGGGGCGGGTTCTGTGAAAGTCCACAGCCCTTCTGTTCATGAAGGATTGGCTGTAAGGTAAGAGGGTGGTGGTAACCAAAACAAAGCTGATGGAACAGATTTCATTTTAGGTCCATCAGTTCTGACTGTGCCCCAAAACTTGAGACATGACTTAGGTGGAAAATAGAAAAATAATATAAACTATGGGAGGGTTTATTTGTTAAGTGTGTATGGGATTTGTAGGGAGCCAAATCCGAATGACTGGGTGTTTGTTACCACTGATAAATACTGCCTGAGCCTTCCTAACCTGGGAGTCCCCCCAAAACAGAATTACATATTTAGTAATCAGTTGTATATCTAAGTATAGTTGGACAGGTTCCCTTATAGGAAGAGTAAGTATCTGCAGGATAAATTCCTGTAGATTTTGCACCTCTTTCCCAACAAGCTTCCCCTAAGTTGCCTCAGTGGTTAAGGAAAGCCTGATCTTGCTGATTCTACATGCCATAGAGTTCTCATTTTTCCAGCTTTGCTTTTTTTTTTCAGAACCAGACCTAGATATCAAGCAAGTATTTCTTGTTAGGACAGTATAACTAGGAAATAAAGGCCTGTTAGAATAAAAAGTGGATCCCCAAATGTATGTGTATGTGTGATTATGTGTGGATTAAAAAAAGAGTTGATTTGCCATGTACCATCCTCCTATCTGCCTTGGATATTTGAAGTTTCATTTCTGTTTTTGAGTACACACACACACATACACACACACACACACACATTTATATCTATAGCCTTCCTTCCAAGTATATGTACACATCATATTATAATATACATACATATCTATCCCCGCCAATAATTCAGATAAGCACAAACATTTAGAAACTATCAGTTATATTTCCCATGTTGATTTTTTAAAACAAAAATCAAGAGGGCAGAAATTAAATACATTAAACAGAGCTATAGTTGTTTGCTTGTGAAGCAAAGGAGAGCCTGGGTCACTTAAGAAATGAGTTCAGTGGATTTCCCAAGCTGAAAACAGAAGTGCTAGAAGAAAATGGAGGAGTTATTCCATATTAGGAGATTATTCTAAGTGATAGTCTAGATTATTAAATTCTGGTTAGTTAAGAGATTATAAAGATTCCCATAGGATTGGTCATATTTTCTGTTTTAGGACACAAACATACAGACACAGTTTTGAAAGAGGTCAAAGAAAATGTCTGATGGACTCAGGGTGATTGATGGCACATTTTTTCTTTAATTCTCAAAAGAGAACTACATAATAATAAATGCATAAAATCTTGCAGTTCGTAAAGTTCATTAGCTCCGCCATCCTGTTAGGTGTGTACTGTGAAGATGTCTATTCTACAGCTGAGGAGGTAGCAGCCCACGGGCTGAGTAACTTCACGGATTCCACAAACATTTATTGAGAAACTGTGCCTTAGGTTTAACTGTTTCCCAAGTGGGCTTCAAGGTGGACTTAACAGTTATTATTTATTTGCATTTCCTGAAAGCGGAAACAAAATATTTTGTTGCTTAGTTAGGAAAGAGAGAATTCCTAAATGACCAATATGAGGTTGGACACAACACTCTTGCACACACCATTTCTGATCTCTGAAAACTAGGTTGACATCTGAGCAAACAGCATTGCTATTTTCAGAACTAAACAAGGTCACCTGGGTTCATATTGCAGACTCTTTTATTCTGCCTTGCTCCTTCTACTATAGCTTACTGCCCTTTGTACATTCTAGTACTTCTTGAAATTAAGTACAAAAGAAAAAAATACTGAAAATATTTTTAAAAAGCTAGAGATTGCCTTTTTACAGCATCAAAAATGTCAATGACAGGATTCATGTGTAAAAACCAAGCACATCTAGAGCCCCTGAAATATAGTTTGATTCATAGAGTTTAAGTTCATAGGTTAATGTTAGAGCCACATCTATATAAGATAGAATCCTGCTGTGTACACTCCACCTAATTTCATCAATTCTCAGACCACCAGTGCTGTAAAAGATTACTCCACTCTTCTTTTTAAAATCCCGAAATAAAATGAACAGAAGATAAAGCACAGAAAATGTTGACCGGCGTGTCAATATCTTTATTTTTTCTCTGCTTGTATGTTCCAGGTGGGAGAGTTCAGAGCGCACGCTGCTGAGTGGACAGCCAACGTCACAGCTGAATTCAAAGAAACCAGGAGGCGACTGAGTGTGGAGATTTATGACAAGTTCCAGCGTGCCACCTCCATCAAGCGGAAGCTCTCGGCAGAACTGGCTGGAAATCACAATCAGGAGCTGACTCCTTGTAGGAGGACCCTGTCAGTGAACCACCTGACCAGCGAGAGGGATGTCTTGCCTCCCTTACTGAAGACTGAGAGTATCTATCTGAATGGTTTGACGCCACACTGTGCTGGCGAAGAGATTGCTGTGATTGAGAACATCAAATAGCCCTCTCTTTGAATAACCTTAGGCATAGCCATAGGTGAGGACTTCTTTATGCTCTTTATGACTGTTGCTGGTAGCATTTTTTAAATTGTGCATGAGCTCAAAGGGGGAACAAAATAGATACATCCATCATGGTCATCTATCATCAAGAGAATTTGGAATTCTGAGCCAGCACTTTCTTTCTGATGATGCTTGTTGAATGGTCCACTTTCTTTGACGAGTGGAATGACAAGCAATGTCTGATGCCTTTTTGTGCCCAGACTGTTTTCCTCTCTCTTTCCCTAATGTGCCATAAGGCCTCAGAATGAATTAGAATTGTTTCTGGTAACAATGTAGCTTTGAGGGATCAGTTCTTAACTTTTCAGGGTCTACCTAACTGAGCCTAGATATAGACCATTTATGGATGACAACAATTTCTTTTTTTTTTTTTTTTTGTAAATGACAAGAAATTCTTATGCAGCCTTTTACCTAAGAAATTTTCTGTCAGTGCCTTATCTTATGAAGAAACAGAACCTCTCTAGCTAATGTGTGGTTTCTCCTTCCCTGCCCCCACCCCTAGGCTCACCTCTCTAGTCTTTTACCCCAGTTCTCCCTTTTGAACACCATACCTTGCTGGAAACAGTGTGTAAAATGACTGAAGTGATGATGCCCGAAGAAGAAATAGATGCCAAATTACATGGACATTGAAGCAACACTCAGCGTTGCCTAGTGTTAAAGGCACTGCAGAGAAATGAGGTACAGAGGTGGCCCCTCTGAGTATTTATTTGACTCAGGTACCAGTGGTACATATATACAGTGTAATTATGACCAGGCTGGTAAAATTGGCTGCTCCCAAACAATCCCCTTTTTCCTGGCAGTATTTGGAATTTATCATTTATTAATAACTATACATTTTTTAAAGGCAGAAGAAGAAAATCTATCTATCTATATATATATAAATGACCTGACAGAAGAAAACTGTTAAAAATGGATATTATTGGAGGCGATTTAAAATGGTGGGTGTGAATTATCATTCTGATGGAAAGGAAATAGCAAAACAATGTGTTACAAGTATTTGCTAATAAACAGTATACTGCCAGCTTCTAATTGCTTTTTGATGTATGAAAGGCTTATATAATTTTCTTTTCGTTGGGTGACTTTTGCCAGATGAGAGGAGGTGGCACAGTGGTGAGTGCAGGGCACAGTCCTAGCCTTCTGTGGGTGTACTTTTGGAGTTGTGACTTGGCTGTGAGGGCAGAAGTTGAAGTTGGGATCACTGTGACTTTGCACATAGAAAAATGCAGATTGCAGGCATAATTCATCTCTGACATTAGAGAAAAAGCTGTTATAGCACAATTTAAATTTTGAGAGTTTGCTGTGTTTTTTTTTTTAACATAAAAGAGGCTGATTATTCTTTTTAGTTTAATTTTATATCCCATAATTCTTCAGATGGTTCCAAGATTCAGAAAAAATTCAGTAAATGCACCCCGTAAATTGCTACCCTTTCCTTTATTTTCATACTTAGATCTGCTGTACATTGTATATATATATATAATTTTTAAAATGCAGAAAGAAAATAATTTCCCTAAATATAAAAGCAAACTGATTTCTTTTACTTTTTTGTGTGTAGGGGTGGGAGCTGTATCTGAATAAGTGGCATTCAGATTAGGGTCCTGAAAAACCCAGAATCTTTAAAAACAAACAAACTAATAGATGCTTATTTTCCAACATTTAAATTTAAGCTAGAAATGTAAATATTCAATTAATTTGTTAAAAGTACTTTTATAAAGTTAAAAGGAAATTCCAACCAAAATTGTAGAAAGTCAGGCTCTTTTAGAAAGAAAGCTACACCCATTTCCTCAAATAACTGTTCCGAAAATTTATATGGTGGAATGCACCATGTATAAACTGTGAATTGTATTGACAAATAAAGTTTGTAATTAAAGTCAGCATTTTCTGAGTCTCCTGCTTGCTGCTAAGAATTTAGATGTGATCTAGGTAGGTAGAACTCCAGGATGTTACTTTTCATGCTGAGTGTTTGTCATTCCTTTATTCAAAATATTTAAGAAATATTTTCGATGTGTTGATATACCCTTGCTAAATACATGCAGACTGTTTCCCTCGGTGGCTAGTCATGAAAACCAAATATAGTGAAATTCAGTTTTGAAATAAGATATTTGAAATCGCATATAGATTCAAGGTTGTTTCTATTATATTACCGTATATTTATGTCATATTTTATTACTGTTAGACCTTGTCTTGACACTGAAGTAGACTGAATGCTGAACACAGGTGCCTGAATGGTTTTTTGTAAGGAAAAGACAATTAAGCATCCCGGTGGTATTGAAGTCTAAAGAAGGTAGT